GTCTTCAGGTGGAACCGTCACAGCACGATTTTTACCTACGTGACTTTACCGAAAAAAACCTACGAATATAAAACTCAATATATTGTCCACTAACAGTGTGGTTTTCAAAGGAGGAATATGGTAACGTTTCGGGCTATGGTCCTCCTTCATAGTACGTAAATAGATAGGCCGTAGATTCAAGTTATAGACTGCATGTGCTTTTAACACCATGTGGCCCCCGGTGAAGATATTTAAAATTGCCATTTGAATGTCACAGGGTGATGCACTGCTCTCTCTCTCTCTCTGTCTCACCACTTCATAGGGATCCATAGCGGCAGCTGAGCTGTGAAATATTTGCCCGGGGAGGTTCGAAGGGAGTTTGAGGAATCAAGATATTCCACTGGTGAAATATAAAAAAAAATATTTCACGAGAAATGAAGATCCGCTTCATCACAACTTTGAGATGTTAACAACCTCGCCTGGTGTACAGGAGATTGCCCGGTAGATTCCGACCCTGACGCCTGCTGCTGTATATTTGCAGTTTGCGGTGTCTCTCTCCCCGTGGTTGTGTGGATTTTTCTCCGGGTCCTCCGGGTTTTCCCTGCACATTCAGAATCAATGTCACGCGTTTATAGTATTTGGCCGCAATACATTTCCACACCATGATAAACCACTTTCTTTGAGCTATCATTTGTGGCCAGGTCGCTTTAGAAAAAGAGATATACAGCTCAGTGGGCCTTACCTAATGAAATAAAATAATAGTTTTTAATTAAATCTAATTCCCCCCCCCAAAAAAAAAACCCACACAAAATCTTATTACTTTTATCATGAATGCAGAGTCGCGTATGTTCTGCGTGCCTCTTGCGGTGAGCCGCTGGCGATAGGGGCCGGTCTAACCACGATTACTCGGAATCCGTGAACAACACTCTTCGTCAAACATTAATGGGGATGATTGAACAGCGACGCGGCTGACACAACGCTCTGCTGCTGCTGCTCGTGATGAAGAGGAGGAGGGAGGGTGCGGTAGAGGGGGTGTTTGATGGTTGATGTTGCTGGGCGGCTAGTGAGCTGGTGGTGGTGGGGGGTAGAGCATTTGGAGAGAGGGGGGGGGTGTTGTGGGAAGAGACGCGGGAGGGAGGGGTGATATAGTGGGTTGTGTTGTGACCTCGTGGTAACGTGGGAGTGAGGCTGGCGTGCGTGCGTGCCGAGCCAGACGAGCGAGCGCACACACGCTCACGCATGTGCAAGTAAGAGGCATCCGTGAGTGCACGGCGCATTTTTCTTGCGATCGGCATGCGGGCCCGGGTTGCCATAGGCAGCTGCCAGGCTGTGCTCTCGGCTACCTGGTGCTGGGTGGCGGAGGGCGCTGCGGCACGCAACGCATTGTTGCACTGCACTTGTACGCTCCCCGCGTCTATGATCTCCGCTGTCGTGCTGAACAGCGTGGAGAGGCATGCCCACCCCCCCCGCCCCAAAGACGGAAGGGCTCGAGCGAGTGTAGCCATTCTTTGATTTATACATTTTGGCGATTCAAAAATCGTTCTTTTTAACATTCTGAAGTGCATGTAGCGGCCTCTAGTGGCTACAGTGGGTCACGTTAGCCATAAAATATATTTTATATCTGTTCGAAGCATGCTCGATTCGCTGCTGCGCGTATAGCGTCTAAACAAGATTGATCGTATTCCGTGAATTAGTGCATCGTAACGCGATCGCACGAACCCGGATTAGAACCCAGATCCTTAAGCGGTGCCGGCTTAGCACTCTGACCTCTGAGCCACCCTGACCCCCCAACTGGCAATGTGAGTGTCACAGCATGCGAGTTCTGGAGAAGAACTCGCACGCTGCGACGCAGGGCATCTGCACAGCAAATGCATTCCATAGCCCGGCAGCGTACGCAGCAGGAGCACTGCGAGTCAACAGTGAACGCGGTCTGAGAAGAACACTGAACAGCCCTGAGCCACTTTCGTATTCTTTGGTTCTTTCGGTAAAGTCACGTAGATAAAAAAAATACAAATAATAAATAAAACATTTTTTATAAATGTTTCTTATTTTTATTATCATAATTTTTTTTTCTACGTGACTTTACCGAACGAACCAAAGAGTATGAATTCCTGTGGTCACGAAAGTTTTAAGTCGAAAAGTTCCACACATTTCCATGGCGGGGGCCAGTTTATCTGCGCGACGACCGTCGATACAATTCATACAAAAATTTGTATGGATTGTATCGACCACGTGCAGGATGATTGGCTAAATGTATCCTTCTCCCACCCCCCCCCGCCCCCGGAACCTAGATCCGAACCATTTCGAGTCGAGCACTCTCATTACACCGCCACCGGCTGCCTATCTGCTTTAGCGAAACACTCCACGCGAGGCGAATTGCTCGGTTCACTGATTGCGAGGTTGGTGTACGGGCTCCCTCGCTTTATGCGGTAGATGCGTTCCAAAAAAAAAAAGGTCGCACAAAGCGAAACAGCTCGAGACAGCGCCGCGGTGTGTTCCCGCTCGTAAGCACTTCATTGATGTTGTTTATTTTTATTTTATTAATGCATTTTTGTAAAAAAACAAAAATATCAAAGACAAACAGAGCCATAACGACGAATTGGCGTTCTACGGGGTCGCGCTAAGCAAGGTCTGCCTGTACCCGCACTTTGCCGTCCCTCCCACGCACCTCAGATTAGCTCGGTTGGCTGCGTACGGTGTGAAATAAATTCAACATTCGTACGTACATGCATGTAGTCCCACGTGTAAACTCCTCTCGTCAACGCATGAACTTAATTCAACAAGGTCACCCTGGAGGACGATCAATACCTAGCTTAATAACAAGTGTAATGTTCGGAGCCATGAGTCCTCTCGTACTGTTATGGCTTCAGCCCACTTTCTAAAAAAAAGGAAATAAATCAATTTCGATTGTCGAAATATTTGAGGAATCTCGAGTCTTGCCAGATGTGCTTCGTCCATTGATCGTAAATTCCTCGAGCGTGCGGAAGCCGGCGTGCTCTTAAATATACAAGGCAACCCATCATGCGCCACACTCCTCCTCCTCGTCATCATCGTCGTCGTCATCATCGCCATAATAATCGTCATATTCATCGTCATCATCATTATCGTCATTGTCATCATCGTCATCATCGTAATCATAGTCGTCATCGTCATCATCATCGTCGTCATCATCATCATCATCGTCGTCATCATCATCGTCATCATCATCGTCATCATCGTTGTCATCATCATCGTTGTCATCATCATCATCATCATCATCGTCGTCATCATCATCGTCATCATCGTAATCATAGTCGTCATCGTCATCATCATCGTCGTCATCATCATCATCGTCATCGTAATCATAGTCGTCATCATCGTTGTCATCGTCATCACCGCCGCCGTCGGTGTGATCCACATCGTCGGAGTGAACATTGTCGTACCTCGCGTCGTGTCTGCCATCATCAACATCACCATTGTCGGCATCGTCATCGTTGCTGGTCTCCAGCATCAAAAATCTTCATCAGCAGCAACAATCGGCGCCGTCCTCGTCATCATGGCCATCGTCACCATCACCGTCAGCTACTGCCCATCTACTGCTGCTGCTACTGCTTCACTCACGTGCTGCAAAGCATCGGTGCTGCAAAGACGTCAACTCGAGGCCGATTCTCAACTTGCAATAGCGGCGATTGATTCCCTTGGAGCTGAACTTATCGCGCTCCATCCGCGACAAACGGCCACACACTGCTCATCTTCACGTGGGTTATTTGCCTGGGACTGCCGGGAGATGGCAGTGCCATGCCACGGATTGAATCTATCTGTGCGGAGCTCTGAGTTGTTGTGCCCTCGTGTGCGCGGGGTTTTCCAGGTACCGCAGTCTCCACCCACGCGCTGAAAACCCTTTTGTAGAGGACTCGGGGCGAGGGGTTTCATGGGTAAATCTAATGCATTATGTAATGTTGAACTTGTTGAGCACCGTGTGAAGACAACCGTTCTGATACTCTTTAGTTATTTCGGTAAAGTCACGTAGCTATAAAAGAAAAATAAATTAAAAATAAATAAATAAATTTCCTTTATCTAAATAAATCAAATCACGACATTTCGGAAGCAACACAAGCCTCCGTCGTGATTTGATTGATTTTGATTCTGTTTTTTATTTTAATTTATTTTGTATTTATTTTTATTTTATACCTACGTGACTTTACCGAAGGAACTAAAGAGTATGGATCATTGCATTCACGAAAACTTAAGATCTAGATTGAACCGTTCTGATAGTAGGAGCTGAAATGTAACCGAATTAGGCGAACACCAAATGCGATCGGCGTTTTTATATCATCATTGGTAACCAGGCCGGCACCATCAACCCCGTCGCCACTCTTACGAACCCAGCTTCATCGAGGGGGGATAGGCAACTGAGGTCCGCATCGAACCCCAAGATTCCAGCGGTGGTGCCATCTCCGTGCTCTGACCCCTGGGGTCAACCGGCCGGCCACCTTCTCATGTGCGCTACTCAATGGGGAGGGCGAGGGGGATTGTCGCTTTCCCCGTGCCGCTTTGCTTCCTGACGGCTCCCAGCAGCATCGTGGCGACTTCCATGCCAGGCCAGGAAGGCAGTGAGCTCGAGGCCGCGTGTTCTCTGCGGAAGACGTCAGGCACTAGCGATGGGTGAGCGGGGAGGGGGATAACAAAGCTTTAGCAAAGCACGTATGCCTGGACTGTATTCACAAGAAGATGAGTAATGGCCATCGAGCAGCGGATAGAACCATGGCTGATGATAATAACAATGGAGACTAGGCTCTAACAAAAGCTGTCTCGGGTGTGGACCAATCAACTTCAAGGACAGTGCATACATTATCATCACCGGAGTTGTTTCTTTTTGTTTGAATTTTGACTGCTTGTGTTGTGGTTATTGCAAACATGATGCCTCGTATAAAGGTGTCAGTTTTTGTACCAGTTGGAAGGGTAAAAAACCTGCTACTATATTTTGCCACTGGTATAGGAGATGTCTCATAGACATGACGATTGACTGCGTTGCGTTGCAGGCTGCCGCGAGACGGCTTTCATCCACGCCGTGATGAGCGCGGCGCTCGCGCACGGCGTGGCGCGCGCCTGCAGCGAGGGCAGCATCGCCTCCTGCACGTGCGACTACGGGCGGCGGGGCCGTGGGGGCCCCGACTGGGAGTGGGGAGGCTGTAGCGACAACCTGCCATTCGGAACTCGCTTCGCCCGGGAGCTGGCGGCCGGGGGAGGAGGTGGCCGTGGCCGTGGTGGTGGTGGAGGAGGTCGTGGTGGTGGTGGAGGTCGTGGTGGTGTGGCCGGAGAGCGAGGAGGACGCGACGCACGTGCGCTCATGGATCGACACAATGAGGAGGCGGGCATGCGGGTGAGTGTGTCTGCGTGTGCGTGACGCGTGTGTGTGTTCATGTATATGGGGAGCGGTGGTGTTGCGGTTAGCGCCCTGTGCTACGAACCTGGCGACCCGGGTTCGATTCTCGCTCACGGCCAACACCAGTGACGATTATCTGAACTGGTCCTGGGTCTCTCCGAGGTCGACTTAGCCTCAAATGAGTACCTGGTGCGGTGTGTAAATATTGCCGCTAGGGAGACAAAGGCGGTGGGGCGTGCTGCTGGCCACCCACCCACCCCCTCCTGTGCTGTAAAGGTCGTCATAGGTGCTCACGAACAGCACTTGCCCCAACAGTTTGTTGAGGCTATGGGGGGATCTTTGTCTTATTTTTTTTTTGTGTGAGGAGTCAACACCAGTGGCGATAATCTGAACCTGGTTATTATTATTTTATTTGTATTAATTTTAATTTCATTTTTTACCTACGTGACTTTACCGAAAAAAACTAAGAGTATGGTTCTAAGCCTCCAGTAGGTCGACTCAGCCACAAATTAGTACCACCGCATTCACCGCAATGGTGTGAAACGCCGTGTTTTACAGAATTTAAATACTACGGACGTCAAAATTCCCCCGATGTCATTCGCAAGGGTTACACCGTCGTGTGGCGGCGTTATGGCCCAAGCGTGCAAAATTTGAAAATTACCAAATCACCCCCCCCCCCCACGCCTTCTACCGTGAACACTTGGCAGGACCCTCTTGCAAAAAAAAAATCCTGGTTAAACAACAACAACAACTTTCGATTTTAAGCTTTCGTGACTGCAGGGATTCATCTTCTTGGTTCTTTCGGTAAAGTCACGTAGAAGGGAAATAATAAAATAATAAAAATTTAACATAATAAAATAATTCTCACGACGTTTCGGCCACAACGCAAGCAGCCGTCATCAGGTGAAGAACAGGTCTGCCTTCAGACGCTGTCTTTCCGACAGACCTGTTCTTCACCTGAGGACGTTTGCTTGCGTTGTGGCCGAAACGTCGTGATAATTATTTTATTAAGATTTATTTTTATTATTTTATTATTTCCCTTCTACGTGACTTTACCGAAAGAACCAAGAAGAACAACAACAACCTCCTGACACCTTCCCCTCTGCTCCACCTCACCCCACCCCGCTCGCCTCGCTTTCTCAGACCGTCGACTCCGAGATGCGTCGCGAGTGTAAGTGCCACGGCATGTCCGGCTCGTGCGCCCTCAAGACCTGCTGGCTGCGCCTGCCACCGTTCCGCGCCGTCGGCGACCGCCTCAAGGAGCGCTTCGACGGCGCCACGCAGGTGGCCGACTACGGCCGAGAGGGCAACCGCGCCTCCAAAGACTCCGATCGCGGCGGCGGCGGCGGTGGCGGCGGCCTCCTGCGACCCGCAGATCCGGCGCACAAACCGCCGGGTGGCCGCGACCTCGTCTACGTGGACGAGTCGCCCGAGTTCTGCCACGCAGACACCGCGGGGTTGTCGTGGCCGGGAACCCGTGGCCGCGTCTGCGTCCGTGGCTCGCCGGGCCTCGGCGGCTGCGAGCTGCTGTGCTGCGGGCGCGGATGGACAAGCAGGGAGGCGCGAGTGAGCGAACGGTGCCTCTGCACCTTCCACTGGTGCTGCACCGTCACGTGCCAGAACTGCACGCGGGTGGAGACTGTGCACGAGTGTCTGTGACTGCCGACGGCGTGACAGCGGGAGGGAGGGTGGGTGGGTGGACGAGTGGCTGTGACTGTCTACGGCGTGACAGAGGAAGGGTGGGTGGGTGGGTGGACGAGTGTCTGTGACTTCCTACGGCGTGACAGCGGGAGGGAGGGTGGGTGGAGACTGTGCACGAGTGTCTGTGACTGCCTACGGCGTGACAGCGGGAGGGAGGGAGGGAGGGTGGTGGGGCGGAGGGAAGGCCGTGGTAGTGTGATGGGTGATCATGGTGTTGGGTGATGCGTTGCGACGAGTGATGGTTTGGTGTGGCGAGTTGGACTCTTCTCTCGCCACCGTACCGAGACAGAAACGATACGAGTGAGACGGTAGCACGAGACGGATAAGCTATTCGATTGTCGAATCGAATCGTGACGCGGAATCATGACAAATGTATCGATTTGCCTATGGGTTGCTGCGATATGGATGTTGAACTTATTTCGTGCCGTATGTCGCCTGACGTGCTAATTTGAGGTTGCCGGCGAAGGACAACAAACTGAAGGGAAACAAAAGCTGTTCTGAAGCAATGCATTTCCAATCTGGATTTAAAAGTGCATAACATGAGCGTCCCTGTGAGCGAAGGGCGATGTGTCGTGTCATGGGTGACGGCAGAACGGCTTCTGTGGTGGGTGACGAGCGTGCGTCTGATGTGTGAAGAAGGTGTGAAGGTCTGTGTGCCCGATGGCCGATGTCCTATGCATCGTGAGTCGTGGCGTGTGCGATGAGTGACGGTGGCCCATCCATCCTGTTCGTCAAGGGACACAGCGATCCACCCTCCCTGCCAGGGATTCTTCCTTTGTTCTCTTCTGTTGAACTGCACACATTGTAAATAATCGCATGATTTCACGCATGTATTGTGAATGTAAGCATCGCATCTTGTTGACTTGTCTTTGTTCTTGCCTAGAAATACTGGTGTAACAAATGCTGCTTGAAGACATTGGACCCTGAAAAAAAAATTCGACTTCACCCTTAGGTGGACAAGGAGGGATAAGAGTCTACTCATTGGTCTGTGCGTTCGTTTTATTCGCCACGTAGTGCGTACAGCGAGCAGCAACGTGCGTGTCTGTGTGCCGGCCTGCGACGTTTCACACGCTGCGTTTTGGATGAGCTTCCTCGACAGGCCGGTCATCTTTAGGGTGGAACTAACACCGATAAGCGGCGAGGTTTTTAAATCGATCGTTCCCCCCTTCCCCCCCCCTCTCCCTCCACACGCACGTGTAGTCGAGTCAACAAATGAACACGGAAAATCAAAAATACGGGGAATTGGCCGAAACTTTCGGAAGCATTGACCTCTTGAAAAAGTCCCGAGTCTCAAAGAAGCTTCCCAGCCTCTGTCAAATGGAGGACACCTGCTTTTAATCACACTTTGCAAGCGTGTTATCTGTTTCAGTAGCAGTAATGTCATTACTTGACACATGTAAGCTGACTCCATTATGTGCCCACACGTTTAAAATTTTAGGGGTAAAATTACAATGGTGTACATGAACAGGCCACGTACATAAGATTACTCATGCTACCCTCTTCGGGATAATTTACAGCCTACTTTTAATTGTATGACCTACCCAAACAACGGGCGTAATTCATATTTTCAGCCAATGAATCTACCTGGGACATTTCTTGGAAGTATATTAAAATATAACAACAGGTTTTACCCTTGATTTGAAGCTTTCGTGACTGCAGGAATCCATACTCTTTGGTTCTTTCGGTAAAGTCACCACGGAGGGTGAAAAAATAATAGATCACGACGTTTCGATCGCAACAACAAGCTAAAGACGGTCGCTTGTTGTTGCGATCGAAACGTCGTGATCAATTATTTTTTCTACCTACGTGGTGACTTTACCGAAAGAGCCAAAGAGTATAGGTTTTACCCTTGATAATAGGTTTTCCCCTTTCTGCCAATTTAACAGTTGTGTTAAGATATTAAAACACCAAACAAAATCCCTTTTGAAGGAATCCTGTCTGCATGAACCACACATTCATGTGGCGAACATACAAAAGAAAAAAAAACATGCTCTAATAATGATTTTAAGTTTTCGTGACTGCAAGAAATCATACTCTTTGTAAAGACACGTAGATATAAAAAATATTTTATTTTTCCATCTACGTGACTTTATCGAAAGACCCAAAGAGTATGAATTCCTGCAGTCACGAAAGCTTTAAATAATTATTAGAGCAAGTATGCTCTAATAATAATATTAACAATATTAGAGCAAGTATGCTCTAATAATAAATGCATTCTATTTTAAACTGATTGGTCCACACCAGAGACAGCTTTCTTTAGGGCCTCGTCTCAAAGTGTTAGGAGCAGAGAACGCCAAAAGACGACCAGCACAAAGACAATGCCACTATGAGGATATTTATAGCTCGGGGTGAGCAGCTACAATATGCTACAATAAGATTCCTTGAAAAATCGATTATATTTGGTGTTTTAACATCTTAACACAACTGTTTTATTGGCAGCAAGGGGTAAAAATATTGTTAAAATCTGCCTGCTGTCAACACAAAGCCACGTTGTGGACAACGAGATGTGTGGATTATCCACGTTGTACCAGGATGTCACCCCTCAATGCAGTGTCCGGGACAGACCCACGTCATGACGAACCCGTAGATACACGACCACCATTACCACCACCATCATCATCATCACTACCACCACCACCACCATCATCACTATCATCACCGTGACGATCATCGCCTGTGCGATCACACAGCGTGTAACGTAGCGCAGAGTTCACACTCAAACACTCGCTCGTTACGTTGAATGACGTTGCCAAAGCACACACGCGCACATAGTCGATGCAATGCGCCCTTGTAATTTAAAAGGCGAGTATTTTGGCATTTCGATGGGCATTATTTTAAGTGATTATTACTTAATTTTGGCATTCAGTGTCGTGTTTTCGTTTCCGCTAGGTGTAGCTACGTGAATTCCAAGTCCGAATATTTGTAAACGAAAACACGAATCCCTTCCCACCTTATGAGTTCGCGGATAATTTTCACCAGGGGCTTCGTTCGGTGGTTCGTGACCCCGAACAAATTATTTCCGCTCCCTGCACACCACATCCAGTATACCTATCGCCGTGGCTGTGGGTACTGCTCGTCACGTGGCCGCCTCCTTCAATGTGCCAGTGACCCGCAAAAAAGCTCAGCGAGAAACGAAGTTGTGCTTGCGCTAAACGACTCGCACACACGTGGATCCCATACTCACGAATGAGCGGACAAGCACACACGTGGCGCGAGGCGTGTGACCCGTCACTCGATGTTAAGTAGCCTGGTAGTCAGTTTCACCTTCGTACTTAGCGATTGAATGACTTCTCTCGTGTGAGAATCGCGAGTGGACTCATGAATTGCTACTTTTCGTTTGACATTAACAACGGGTAAATGCGGTGGCCTCCAGTGACCGTAGGGGGGTGGGGTCACGTGAACCCATTAAGTACAGCACAACATTGGTTCTTACGCAAGGGCGATCTGTTCGCGCGTATCGCGAGCCAGAAGCTTCGATACGAACCCATGAATGAATGCATCATCATCGTCGTCGTCGTTCGCTCACATCTCTCCACTGCTGGATAAAAGACTTCCGAAACTGTCCGCTACCTCTCTCAGTCTGGCGATGGCAACGATCCATCTAGCCCAGTGGGGGGGAGGTGTCAGCAACTCTGTGGATCCAGAGCCACGCGCGGCTCTTCAAGCGACTGACTGCTTCGTGCCGTTATTGGCTCTGGACTCGCCGTATCGTGTTCACCACCACCACCGCCGTGCATAGCGGCTCTTGTTCATATTGAGTTGCTTATATATTTTTTCATATATACCAAATTCGAAGAGAATGGATCTTCTTGTTATGCTCGTTGCCGACCCCTGATCTATCTCATGCGCGCGAGCTGATTTCATCGCTTCCATCTCTCCGGCGTCTTCTCTCATTTGCTTAATGCTGTCCCGATGACCTAAGCACGTGACGATGAATGCCACCCCTCGATTTGATGGGCTCGTCACACTTGGCATTGCAGCGCATGGAGAGGCTACAAGTCAGTTAAAACAAGTGGGCTTTTAAGCGACCAATATTATTCATAACAAATGCTTTTTGGGTAAGATCGCGCAAATGTTAAAATCGGAAGCACGAAGACGTCTACAGAATTCTGGCAAAATCGCCCGATGAGGCTTGGTTGTAATTACGAGCGAAACTTCGTATTCAAATTGTAAATGTATTGGGTTTACTCTCCAACACACCGGTGTGCTGAAGTAGCAACAATCTGTGATTTGAAGCTTTGGTGACTGCAGGAATCCACACTCTGTGGTTCTTTCGGTGAAGTCACGTGGGTAGAAAAATAAAATACAACAAAAAAAGGTACATTTTGTTCACGTGACAAGCCTTACTAATTGGCTGTGTCGGGTGGTGGTAGGTTAACGACACATTTATATTTAAGCGATTTAAACCCCCCAAAAAAACCTCGATTCTTACCCTCACGATTCAATTCGTGTATCGCGACCATAAGAATACATCTGAATCGATCGTGACATCGCTTCGTCGATACACGCCAAATATTATTTCAGGGTGGAGAAGTGGCACAGTGGTTAGCGCACTGTGCAATGAATTCAGCGAACCTGGGATCGATGCCCGGCCACGGCTTAAACCCCGTCTTGGCCTTCCACTCCCCTAACTTCAGCAAGTCACACCGACAAGGCCGGTGAAGTATGATCAATCAATCCCCCCAATGGAAGCAGTAATCCAGCAGTGGTTTGACGCAGCGCTCCGGATCATTCTTCAATTTCAGCCAATCGCCGTCCGAGTTGGCGACAGCGATCTGTGTGTGTGTATCACGCTTGGGAGATGCTCTCATTCAGCAGGGCCGTTGGAATGTCGGCTGACGTTGGATTGTTTTCAGTGGCGTATTGGGTGTATGTCTGCATGTCTGTGCGTATGTGTGTTGAACTTCTGTTCGCGTGCGTGTTCTGTTCGCGTGCGTGGTCTGTTCGCACTCAGTGTT